ATGGTTCCGCCACATCCAAGAAGCCCAAGAGGCATATGGGGCGCGGGATGGGCGCAACAGAAGGTCGCAGCCCCCGACGCCTCTGCCAGACCCTGACGATCACCCAGGCTCATCAGGGGATGCTCTCAGAGAGTGAGTAACAGAAACATCAGTTCATCAATAAGGATCATGAATTTCAACCACTAGCATGCAAGAGCTGGAATAGCTTTTGTAACTAGAGAATGCTGTGGGTTTAATTTCTTTATTAGAAATTAGATTTTTGCTAATGAGGCTGATTTTGGATATCAAAGTATTAGCTGTGTAAGGAATAATGATCCAAATTGTGTTTTGGGTTTATAAACAAAGGAAAAAATATGCAATTTACAGTGTTGTGCACTTTTGTTTTATAGTGTTGATGATGATGTTGATGGGGGTGAAACAGCAGAAGGCACAAATGATATTTCTGGTGACACCAAAGCACAGTCAGGCAGTGGAAAGGCTACTGAACCAGCAGTCAAGCCCGAGGAGCCTTTGAGCAGCACCTCGACAGCATCACAACCTCCTGCTTCATCTGAGACCCTTGCTAATAAGACAGGTGAGTCGCCCTGGGTCTTTACCAGAGAGTGTCTCATGTGTTCTGCCAGTCCTTGGCCTCCTTAGTTTCCTCTGCAGTCTAGCAGTGACTTTTGTGATGTGGGCGCCACTTGGTATTGGGTTGTAAATGCTCTCTGCTTGACTTAAAGAAGCCCCTGTGCTCACACTTATCTCTTAAACAACATCAAGGTTCTCTCTCTCCCTGTCTTCTTCTTTGCACTCAAATTATTAAGGAAGAATTTGTATTTATAGAGAGTATTTTTATGAATTACATTTATGGTGAATTTATAGGAAATGTCAGTATACTTTGCAAATGTGTGTGTGAGTGTGAGTGAGACAGACAGACAGACAGACAGACAGACAGACAGACAGACAGACAGACAGACAGACAGACAGACAGACAGACAGACAGACAGACAGACAGACAGACAGACAGACAAACAAACAGAGGCAGACAGACAGACAGATAATGCAGGTGTATGTGAGTATGAGTATGAATATGTGTGCTTGCGTTTTTTCTATTTGTACATACATTTTCCTGTTTATACATTTTGATGACATATAAAGGTCATTAAACATGAATTTACTTGATATTGCACTGAATTATTACTTCATAATGTCTGGATATCTATGAGTAACAATCAGAGGAAGTGATGTGCTTGTATGTTTGAGAGAAAGAGAAAATGAGTAAGAGAGAGAAAGAGATAGAGAAAGAGAAGGAAAGAGAATGAAAGAGAGAAAAAATAGAGATAAAGAGAATGAGAGAGAGAGAAAGAGAAAGAGAATGAGAGAGATAAAGAGAAAGAGAATTAGAGAGAAAGAGAAAGAGAATTAGAGAGAGAAAGAGAATGAGTGAGAGAAAGAGAAAGAGAATGAGAGATAAAGAGAAAGAGAATGAGAGAGAGAAAGAGAAAGAGAATGAGAGAGGGAAAGAGAAAGAGAATGAGAATGAGAATGAGAGAGAGAGAGAGAAAGAGAAAGAGAATGAGAGAGAGGAAGAGGAAGAGAAAGAATAAGAAAGAGGAAGAGGAAGAAAGAGAGTGAAAGAGACAGACAGACAGACAGAAAGAATTTGAGTGTGAGTGAGTGAGAGAGAATTTGTCTGCATACTTAATGCACACTAGTGTGGGTCTGCTCATTTATGCCTTCAATTTTTTGTGAATGAGGAATTTTGCATGCGGTCAGTAAGTTCATGTCCCCTGAGAGTAGAAACTGAAAAGGTGAATTGTTTTTATTATATTCAATCACTTCAGAGGTCTATATAAAAAAAGTTTTTACTAGAGATATCACTAGTTTTCTAAGAGATCCTTGTAACAAAAATTTTGGCTTCAAGAAAGTATTGATGGAATAATTGAATTTATTGGTTGTGAACACTGACACCCCTCCTGTGTGAATGGCAAAAAGTGTGCAGATTGAAACCCCAAATTTTAAGAGCAATCTCACATACGGAAACATGAATTAAAGACTTATTATTTTAGGCAATATATAGTAATAATGCGTGAATATTTTGCTCTGAAGACATATTGCGCATTGGCAGAAGAGTGTTAAGAAATACTGAGAAATAGGCCATTTGAAGGCCTTCTCTAGCGGCACAGGGTACATGCTTTATAAACTGGTCCTATATTCTATTATGATACCAGATGCCATTACCTTGATTCGTGTGAGTGTGCACTTGTGGGTGGCTGTCTGTATGTGTCTTGTGCTGTTTGTATATGTATGGAAGATAGTGGACATATCAGACACATCCTGTCACAAACAACCAAGCCCCACATGTACCTACCATATGCGCGCGCGCACACACACACACACACACACACACACACACACACACACACACACACACACACACACACACACACACACACACACACACACACACACACACACACACACACACCTACACACACACACACACCTACACACACAC